TCTCTCCCTACCTACTCTCTCTCTTCCTATCTATCTACTGTATTTCTCTCTCTCTTTCTATTTCTCTTTCTCTATCCCTCTACCTACCTACCTACCCCACACACACACTCTCTCCCTACCTACCTACTGTATTTCTCGCTATCCCTCTACCTCTCTCCCTACCTACTCTCTCTCTTCCTATCTATCTACTGTATTTCTTTCTCTCTATCCGTCTATCTACCTACCTACTTACCTACCTACTTTCTCTCTCCCTATCTATCTACTGTATTTCTCTCTCTCTATTTCTTTCTATTTCTCTTTATCTATCCCTCTACCTACCTACCTACACTCTCTCTCTCCCTACCTACCTACTGTATTTCTCTATCTATATTTCTCTCCCTCTCTATCCCTCTACCTACCTACTTTTTTTTAATTTGCCTATTCAAAACCTTGGTGCGTCTTATACTCCAGTGCATCTTATACTCCAAAAAATACAGTATTTGAGAAAGTCTTAAAGTCAACACATGTACTCCAGGGTATACCACCTGAGAATAGTCCAGACTAATACAGTACCACACACACACACACATACACACACACCGATACCAGTATAAATTCAACACACACACACACATACACACACAAACACACACATATAAATCCTCCACTGAATAGAGCTACTAATGCATCAACTTAACCCTATCATTAAGCTTCAAAATATTTTCTTGACTAAGGACCAGTGATATGCTTGCTCTTAGCAAGAGGGAGGGAATAAATATATTTCCACAATAATTTCCTTCTAAAGAAAGCTTTTATCTTTTTTGAACAAAGTGTCTAATATAGAACAAGGAACTTAGTTGTAGTCCCAAAATATATCTTATTTCTAGATAATGGGGTTATAAACTTGTATTTAATTAAAAATGAAATAAGTTTGTAGGTCAAAATTTGAAAACCTTAATGCTATTTACTACTAAAACTCTCCTAGTCTTTGGTTGCCCAATTAGCACAAATGGTACATAGGACATAGGGCAAAACTCTATGAATCTTAATGATGGTTTAATCATTAGTTTCATCATCAGATGGAACTTAATGATTTGAAGTATTTTTAAAATACCTCAAACCATTATCATTATCAGAGCCACAGTGG